CCTCCCCTTTAACGGAATACCTACAGACTACAATCTATAAATGTCTTCAGACGAGAAATTTCGGACGATCATATTTCTGCCCTGTCTCTCTGTGCAATGTCATCTATCGGAGAATATTTCCTTCCAGGGATTGGGGGACCATTCGCTGCACCCTCTTCACCGCTCTATCTCACATATACACATTTTGTCTCTTTTCTCCAAAGAAAAGGCCAGAGACAAAGACGCGTAAAGGCTTGAATTCATTTGCGAAAGCAAACGATCTTAATAACTTCAAATAATACCTTCCGAGCCCAGCCCATGCTTCTGTCTGGAGCCGTGAAAAAGGATAAATCCAGCGAATTGAGAAAAGAAACAAAACACAAAAATCCTGTTAGAATGAGGAGGGAGGCACATCTCATTAGAGGGGAGGAAAAAGAGAATTTCTTTCGCATTTTCTCCGAGGTTTTCGTTCACCTCATCTTTTTGCCCGCTTGCTGGGGTCTCACGGAACTATGGTGGGCCTCCTGAATCCGGACTCCGTAGTTCATCCTGCCCAGCGATTTAGGGCAATCTTCGATCGGATCGGGCTTCTTTGGGGGGCTTTCTGTCTCCATCCTGCTCCTGGGTTTAGCTAGTCAGCTGAGTCGGACCACCAAACTAGAAACGGCGCCAGGGCCTCCCCATCCATAGTCCTGGAGGTTGAAATTTTGTGGGTTCTTTGCAGGGAGAAATAATTATCATTGCTGAGACGCAGGCGTGATTTCCCAATGCTTCGGGGTATTCCCGGTAGAATTTATTGTATAATAATGGTAAATAATCATTTCTTTTTTTTTCAATATGTCTCATTAAAAATCGTTCGCCATCTAACCGTTTTATTCAATCTACGCGGGTAAGCAAACGCCTGTGCTTAATACAGAATCAGGACATTTAAACCAACCATTAACTAAGGATTAACCTTCATTTGCCTAAAAGACACGAGCTTGTGTTTTTACCTACATAGACCTTCCCCCCCCCAAATAAACTTAGGTTTCTGCCTTCTGTCCCTGTACCCCGCCCCCTTCTTCCGGCATTGTAAGAATGAAACAAAAACAGAATTCCAATGGTCCCAGTTAATTACAAAGGACAATTTCGTTCTGACATTTCTCTGTAACTCTCGCCAGCTCAGTTAATTTGTTCTCCGACTCTGCGGCTCGAACCCTCGCTGGGAAGTGCAGTCTTTGCTGTCGTAGTAAGTTAGGTGTCTCTCAGAAACCTAGCGGCGGCTGGGGCTGGAGGGCCAACAGCAGGGGTGGCAAGCCCAGGGGAGGGTAAGGAGGGGCTGGCGCGGTCTCGGTGGCCTTCGGTGCCAATCTCCCGGTGTTGATCTGTCTGCTTGCAGGGAGAGCCGTGAATCCCAAGTCGGTTTGTGAGGGCTGTCAGCGGGTCATTTCGGACAGATTTCTGCTACGACTCAATGACAGCTTCTGGCATGAACAGTGTGTTCAGTGCGCCTCTTGCAAAGAGCCCCTGGAGACCACCTGCTTCTACAGAGACAAGAAACTCTACTGCAAATACGACTATGAGAAGTAAGTGGCGGCATCCCCCCGCGTGCCCCCGGAGCGGGCCCAGAGCGTTGCTTTGCCTTTGTCTGCGTCGACAGACGCTCATGGAGCTCTAGACAAACCCACAGACGCACTCGCACGTGTAAAGACGGTGGCATACTGGGACACATCAAAGTATACCGATAAGTACCACAAAACAGAATCCCCATACATGACCCCCCTCCCCAATTTTACACACACAAACACAACCAGACAAACACACGAAGCTGCCCGGATTCTGCTTTCGATGTCGTTCCAATTCCCAAAGGACCCCAACCACTGTCTCACTTGTTCCTCAGTCTCTCCTTTCTTCCTCCCAATGCCTCCAATGCCTTCCTCGATAAGTTCTAGGGGCGACTTATTGTAGCTCCCTTCACTTAAATAAGGAGCCCCACAAAGTGTTCCACAGGACCCCCGAGGGTTCCAGTTTTCATCCTTTCCCAAGGAACTCAAGGACTCCATCCTTTTTTTTTTTTAACCTGTCTTTTGTCTTCTCTTGCCCCCTCTTTTTCTGTGCACAAGTGAAGAGCCTTCCTTTAGGGTCCATTTGCCAGCAGCATTTGACGCAGGAGTTGTTGTGATGGTTGGGGGGGTTGGAGTCCCCAATATATTAGGGAAGGTATTGATTAGTGCGTTCCAGAGCAAGGGATGGTACTGTTTTTATCACTGGGCTAAGGTGTAAAATGCTTGAAAACCATTACTGTTACCAGTCTCAGAGCAGGGGTGAATGGGAAAGGGTGTGTTGGGGAAGGGTCCTTTATTTAGTAGAGGAATCTTTCACAATTAACCTGTCTACACTCTGCCAAGCCCCTTAGATCAAATCTCCAAGTTATGGCAATAATGTTCAGGCTACTATAGAGGTGAGATGAAACCAATTTCTTTGGTTTACTTCCTTACTGCCCTTCCCAGAATCTTCCTTGCCTTCTATTCTAAGTCACTCTTGTGACTACCTTAGCTAATAACAAGCTCTTTTGGGTCCTGGGGATGGTTCAGACTAGAGCCAAGAGGGCCAGAGACCCCATTCTCCACCCAGCCCTGCTCAGACTGCCCTAACTTACCCTAAATCTCTTCCAAAGTTAATGATTCTTGTCAGTCACAGGTTCTGATTTATTTTTTCTAAAGGAGTTAGGACATTTTTGAGAGAAAGGGGGTTCCGGCTATGGCAGCAACCTAAAGATAAGACTGCTATTAGCTTCTTGGTTTCTTAAACGAGTCAGGCTGGATGAGGCTAGGGAAAAGGGAGTTTCAGGAATTTCCTTCTTCTCTCTTGGCAGAGCTCGAGTGGGGATTGTGTGGAGAGAACTGCTGCTTTCCCTGGTGGAGATGCCTACTTAATAAAGACATTAACTTAAGATGGCTAGGAAGAGGATGGGAGGAAAGGGGAATGATTGAAAAAGATTCTGCCTTGAACCTTGTCTTTGTGTGAAGTGGCTAGTGTCTGCATATATTTCACAATTGTCATTAAATATGACCCTGGAATAAAACAGATTAAAGTATATAAGCAGAATCAAAGGAGGATTAGTCGGTTTGGAAAATAGTTCCCTTTGTGTTATTGAAAATGTGCAATAGGGGTGTGCCTCAGGAGTCTTAATGCAAGGCATTGAGAAAGAACAGATATACTGGCACTAGTTCTACCTTGTTCCCTGAGAAATGAGATTTACCAAAATACTGTCACTTAACAATTAGACTCAATGGATGCACTCACCATATTTTTTTTTAATCATCACGTTGTGCTGTTTTGAGATAGTATGGTTTGCTTTCTACCTCCTCCCCCCCTTTCTTTCATATGACAATAGTACAGGACAGTTTCCAAAAAATATCATGCTGCCCTGCCCCTCTCTTTTAGGTTTTCATTATACAATGCCAGAATCTCTAGATGAAAAATGGAGAATCCAGAAAATCAATGAGATTTCAGCTACCATGCCCATTTGAAATGGCTGGTCCATTGCTTTATTTTTTTTCCAGGAGATTTTGATATTGTATTTACAAAGTCTTTATATTTCAGTTTATGAATTTCAAGGCTTGCCTACACTTATAGACTTTAAAATATTGGAGATTGGAAATGGACATAAGTTGTGGATTTTTATTCAGTTTATTGTTTTAAAAAAAGAAAAATCAAATATAAACTTTAAGGTCAATATAGCTATTTGTGGCAAATCTTTATTAAAGAGACCTGCCAATGTCAAAAGGAGAAGACAGTCTTAAAATACTTTACAGTACAAAGTCCTCTCCTCCCCTTCCCCCCTATTTCAACCTTCCAGGCTCTGTACTTGGTTTGAATCCATTACCTCAACAGGGTTCTGTCCCACTCACAAAGCTATTTTTACTATGCTAGACATACTGTTCATTTAGCTCACTGTGGGGCTTGTAACTTTGAAGTATATCAGAGGTACTGGGATACATTGTATCTAAAGAAAACTTTCCCCCTCAATTTTAATAGCATAAACTGCTTTGCTAGATGTCCTAAAATAAGTTTGTCAAATGAGATAAAGCAAATTATCACCATCGCAAATATTTATTGAACAATTCCTAAATAGAAAGTATTGTATATATTATACTCTATACCCAATTTGTTTTAAAAGACATGATATTTTCCATCTATAAGTTTATAAACTAGTTCTATAAAAGGACAAAACAACTTTTTAAAAAGTTTTTAGACCTTGTCTCCTTGCCTTTTTCAATATTAAAATTCTATAGTTTTAATTTTGGGGGCATTTTGGCATTATGAATAGCCTGATGATCTTGGAGTCAGGAAGATTTGGTTTCCAATATCAATCCTCACACTGGCTAGCCAACTGATCTTGGGTAAGTTGTTTCAATTTCATGTGCTTCAAGCAACTTTCTAGGATTACAACCAAGTAAGAGACAGGCTGCGACCTGCCTTGTTAGAGGGAATTCCCACCTTGAGGAAATAACAGATCCTAAAGAGTATTCCATCAAAGCTGGGCAAATTGGTTGGGCATACTCACAAGGCTGTCATAAGGACAGTGTTTAAGATAGAAGTTGTACATATGTGGCAGAAAAGATGATGATGATTAAGGGGAAAAGACAGAGGAATGTGAAATCTAATTTAAATAATTCTCTTGGGCTAAAGTTCAAATTATGTATTAATTCAGCTGTTAGGAAAAGAAAATCTACTAATGGCTAAAATAGGAGATGATTATGACTTGCAAAAGGGCAATCTGAGCCCTGTTCTATTTGACTACTATGTGGTTCTCCAGTGGCATATCTCCTGTAGTGCCATGATTCCAAGCAACCAGCTAAAGATTGAGGAAATTTCCTGCATCATCAAATTGTTTTCTCAAAAAAGCCCAACAAGAAATTTAACTGGCATTTCTCAATGAATACAAAAGTTGTTTGAGTATCTTGGAGGGACCACCATTCAGTGAAGAGTGTATATTTGTGTTCTTAAACTTTGGTATTATACACCAGAATGACCTAGGAAATAGCCTCCATATAATAACCCAGATCAAGTAGAAGACAGACAAGGGAAAGGGCATAAGCATTCCTTAAGCACCTACTATGTGCTAGGTAGACACTGTGTTAAGCACTTTACAAATAGAAAACCGTTTCTGATTCCATTCATTTTTACTCACAATGAACTTCCCTGGAGAAGAGTAACTTGTCCAACCTTTATATAAATTCCATCATGTTTTGGATTTATTCACATGCCATCTAAAACTGATGCAGGTGACACAAATCTGGATATTTAGATACCGGCTTTTAACTGTCTTGGAAAGTCAGAAAATTATTTGACAATCAATATTATTTTCCCCTAATCTAAGGATTTCTACTTCTGCAACTGTTGTTCTTTATTGAAGTGAGCTCCTCTGTGATCTAGTTGGTTTGGAGTTTTCCTTGAATTACTTCCAAACAAATACTATAGTTGGACCTGAGTCAGGGATAGAAGAGGCTGCTGAATAATGGGAGTGTGGTAATACAATAGATAATTAAGACTTCTGGAAGAAATCCCAGGTCAAAATCAAGTTTCTATTTTTTCTTTCATGTGCTAGGAGCCTGAGTGCATCAGGCTGAGGTTGTTTCCCCTCACATATTTGGACAAGTTTATCATCATCCCTTAGATTGATTTAGACATCCCAGGAGCTGTGTGGGCTAGTATCGCTGTCATCATTCCCTGTTCCCACAACATCATAACTCCCCACATGTCAGCAAATCTCCTGGAGAAACCTTTCCTCAGAGGGAGGGTTTCTGTGTTGTCCTCCCTCCCCCCTTTTCTCATTTTTGGAACAGAACAATTATCTGAAGAAAGGGATTTAACTGGAAAAAGAAAGTGAATATCATACATAAGGGCTTGAATATCTTTGGAGCCTGCTGATTGGCAGCACTGCAGTGAAAATACAGCAGTGATAAGAATCTCTATTAAGGCTTGGAATAAACCAGTTCTACATTTTATCCATTCACTGGAGGATGTATGTGTGAGTCTGTCAGCGTGTATGTGTGTGTGTGTGGGGGGGGTTCAATTTGATTTTGTTAGAGTAACATTACTTGGAGATCACAACTAGTTATGCAGTTGCTCATAAAAGGAAGCCACAAATGAAATTATAGAGGCAATTGTTTGTTTTGCTTGACTTTATCTTTTTTGGCTTGGCTCCTGGGGTAATATAATTTAAGGGACATAAAAAGAAATCAAACACAGTGAGGCAATAAATTGTTGACTGTTTCGTTAAGTTGCAGAGGACTCATTTGATCTGCATCTCATAAACCCAGCTCCACCTTGGTCTTGAGGTTCTTTTTTCCCCCCTGAAAGGCAGATTTGTCTTTTCTTAGTTGCAAAGGGTGACCAGAAACTATACTTATTCTGAGGTGTTTTCTGGATCTTTCCTCCAACCTAGATGAATACCAACTGAAACTAAAATTAAAAAAAAAAGGAATCAATGAGATAATGAGTATAGAAATGAAGGATAGGGATTAGGAGTAAAAAAGAAATTGATGTTGACACCATATATCAACCCTTTCCCCTCCCA